GGCAGGCTATCTTCTTTGCCCAATTATACAGACTGGAAGAGACATGAGTTAGAGGGGGGCAGGGAGGCAAGCAAGGGATCCCAGGTATGACAAATAAACCCATTAGTCAATGGCTAATTCATCACAATACCTCTATAGCTCCATTCCTATATCCTCTGATATCCTATATAATAAATAGGTAATATGCAAATTGGCCATCACTCCAACACATAAGATGGCCACCCCCAGGTGGACACAAGATGGCCACCACAAGATGGCCTTCAGGGGAGAGCAGTTGTAGGTGATCAGGCCAGCAGGGGAAGGCAGATGGGAGGGACCAGGCCTGCAAGGGAGGACAGGTGGGGGCGACCAGGCCTTCAGGGGAGGACAGTTGGGGTGGGGGGGAACCAGGCCTACAAGGAGGACAGTTAGGGGCAACCATGCCAGCAGGGGAGGGCAGTTAGGGGTGATCAGGTTGGCAGCGGAGGGCAGTTAGGGGCAATCAGGCTGGCAGGGGTGTTTAAGATGTGATCAGGTTGGCAGGCAAAAGCAGTTAGGGGCAATCAGGCAGGCAGGCAGGCAGGCAGGCAAGCACATGGTTGGGAGCCAGCAGTCCTGGATTCTGAGAGGGATTTCTGACTTCCCATTTAGGCCCGATCCCACTAAACAGGCAATTGGACATCCCTCAAGAGGTCTCAGATTGGAGAGGGTGCAGGCTGGGCAGAGGGACACCCCCTTCCCCCACCACACACACACACAAATTTTGTGCACTGGGCCTCTAGTATAGTATAAAATTATAGTTAACAGATAGTAAATGCTTACTATGTGTCAGACACTGCAAAATGTTTTAATTACATTATAACTTTTATCCTACCAGCAACCTTTGAATTATGTTTAGCAATACTATGTAAAATAAGATAACGTGGTGTTAAGAGCACAAGTCCTAGAAGCAAACCAACCCTGGCTTTGAATTCAAACTCAATTCTTAATTAGCTGGATGACTTTAGACAAGTTAATTTTTCCCTTTAAACCTTGGGTTTCTGGTCCCTGGCCAGGTAGTTCAGTTGTTTAGACTCTAAACTTTAGAGCATTGTCCTGATACACCCAGGATGTGAGTTTGATCCCTGGTCAGGGCACATACAAGAATCAACCAATGAATGCATAAATTAGTGGAATAACAAATTGAAGTTTCTTTCTCGCTCTGCTTCTCTTTTTTTGCCTCCCTTCCCCTTTCTCTCTTAAGTAAAAAATAAAATAAAAAAATAAAAAAAATAAATATATATATATATATATATATATTTTAAACTCAGGTTTCTCATCTGTAAAGCAGAGATGAAATTCAGACCTGTGCCTTAAGATAAAGATGAGGATTGAAATAAATAATCCATTTAAATAAAGCCTGACATACAGAAAGCTCTCAATACATTTGGCCCTGATTAGCTTTAATTTATAGTTGAGGAAGCTGTGGCTTACAGGTAAATACCTTGCCCAAGATCACAGAACTATGAAGCCCTGAACCCGTGTCTGCCTGACTCCAAAATCCATTTTAGCCTCTATGCTTTTCTGCCTTCCTGTACATCAAAGTTACAGACACGAGTCTCCATGATCTGTGATCTGATGTTAAGACCAGGCTTGAATATATTTATAAAATTTGTGATATTAAGCAACATGGTTATTGTTAGTTTCTAAAATTTTCCTACAAAATTGATAGAATTAAAGTGACTTACATAACAAAAATGTTTAGAGAAAAACATTCAACACTAAGAAACTTAATATACCTTTCATTTCTAAGTCTGTATAGGCTTACAGTTCTGATGGAAAATTATGCAATAATTAATAAATAATAATACAAGAATAAATTTTGTGCTTCTCATATTCACAACTGTAAATCTACTTTTGCCCTACCCTGGTTAATGACATCACGGAAAGCTTAGAAAATATGGGACAAAAAACAACAACAACTCATTCCCAGTATTACCACCATACCACACAGTTTGTCATTTTTGCTTATTCATTTCCAGTGTGGGTTCATTGACAGATATATTTCAGCAGAGTTGTAATCATTGTGTACATTCCATTTTTTATCCTGTTTGGGTCGATTTTTCTGGAAGCCATTCCTATTCTTCATTGTGTGAGACAGTTTCCACACTGCAGCCTAGGATGGGCAACTTTGAGTAGAGAGGAGTCTCCCACGTTCCATTTGATTTCTTGGCCCAGTCCACCGTCAGAGAGGAAGACGGTGACGAACAAGTGAAGGATCCAAGGTGCCTTACCAAGCTCCATGAAATATGGAGGTGGGGTGGAATGAAGATGTTTTAGGGAACTCAGCAACAGAGCTCCACAATTAGGACTGAAGCATTCTTCTTCCCTGGCTTTGGTGGCTGTGCCATCCTCACAAAATGGCAGCTTGCAGGAGCACAACTCAGGAGGTCTGTAGGACAAACCTTCACTTACACAAAGCAACCTAAACAGAGTTTTCCAGCTTTGCCCCATAAAAACTACCTGGTGTGATTGTTACAGTCCCAGGTCCCTCTCAGCGCTAGGACAGGTGCCTGAGACTAATTTGGAGATCATGTGGGAAATATTCCATTGAATGTTGAAATGGGTAGAAAAACATCCACCCACTACTTAGAATCCTACCCGGGGATGACCAGCTTCCATTTGATGGAGCTTTGGGGTACCCAGGTACTAGTGTGGGTTTAAAGTCAGATGTGACAAGGTTCAAATGTGATCTGGGCAAATTAACTGGTCTTTCTTTAAAAAAATAAAATCTATATCTAGGTATGTATTTTATTGATTTTAGAGAGGAATGGAGAGGGAGAGAAACATCAATGATGAGAGAGTATCTTGCACTCCCACTGGGGACCGAGCCCACAATCAGGACACATACCCTTGACCAAAATAGAACCTGGCTCACAGGCTGGCACTCTACCCTCTAAGCCAGTGTTTCCCAAAGTGTGGTAGGCATACCCCACACTTTGGGAAACACTGTGTTTGTGGTAGGGGTACGGGAAGAGTTTGGTGAGGGTACGCGTTGCACCAGAGTTTGGTGGGGATATGCACTGCACCATGCTTAGCTGCGCCTAATTCTACGTTCTCATGAGTACGAGGGGTACTCAGCGTTACGAAAATTATAGAAGGGGTACACATATGTCAAAAGTTTGGGAAACACTGCACTAAGCAAAACCAGCTAAGGCTGAACTTCCTTTTGTAAAACAGAAATAATAATATATCTCAGATGATTGTTGTGAAGATTAAGTGCTTTGTTTCATGTGACTGGCACAAACCAAAGTGCCTACAACCAGTAGCTATTAAACTCAGTTCTCAGTGCCTGGCCTATAAATGGTCAAGGACTCAGTGATTGGGAGATGTCACTTTATCAGCTTTGTTACTTAACCTTTCTGAAGCATAGTTTCTTCCTAGAGATAACCAACGTGTAGGATTTAGCACAACATTAAATCCTCTGTAAACATAGTTAAGACATCCTCTGGACTCTGTTGAGTTTTTCTCACTGGATATTTTTAGAGCATGATTTTTATGTGTTTTTATAAAATTGATTTTGAGAGAGAAAGAGGAAGGTGTAAGGTTTGAGGCACAGGAAACTGACCACCAAGGAGTTTTAAAGTAAAGTTTATAATGAGCGGGACCATTACGGAGGTAGAGAAATCAGAATTGAAGGAGTTGGGAGGGGAGATGGACCTAGCTGGGCTGCCACCTGGACATGGAGGATCAGCAGCACGTGGCTGGTCTGGGGGTCTTTTTAAGGGGAGGAACAGGAGAGGGTTGGACCCAGGGCAGAACAGGAAGGGGTGGGCTCCAGGACACTTTGGCAGGCGCTGATTAATGGCTCAATGTCTAGGAGATGTCTCTGTGACAGGTGCCAGTAATGCCATAACTCCGCCCACCAGTTGGGAGGAGGGAGAACCTTATAGAAGAGGGAGGGAGAGAATTGGTTGTCTCCCACAGGTACCTAACCAGGGATCAAACCCACAACCTGGAAATGTGCCCCAACCAAGTGAGCCACAACAGCCAGGGCTCAAGTTTGATTAAAAAAAAAAAAAAAAAGCTGTGTTTTCAGGGGGTAATTTATAGATTGTAATATTTTTCTGCACTAAGAGTTACTCTGTTTGACACACATAGGCAACATCATGAAATGATAATGATGGCCATATTGGAAACAGATTTGGTACAAATTGGATTTCTGTGGCAGACTGTGATACTACGGTAGTAAGTTCTGTGACAATCCACCATGAACTGAGCCTGGAGACTGTAATAATGGGAGGTGGAAATGGAGTACAATAGTTCCTGGCTGATCAGAATTACCCGGGATCTTAAAAATAGATCCACTGTTAGATTCTGTATGTCTAGGGAGGAGCCCTAGAATCTGCATTTTTTAAAAAGTGTGCTAAAAGATTGGGAACTTAGTTGTGTTTCGCCCGGACTTGGTGATCCCCAAGGACCACCAGGGAGCCGAGTCCGATGCAATAAACAAAAGAGCCTCTTCCATGCTAGCATGGGCTCTGCCCCACTCATGCCGACAGCATGGCAAAGAGAGACCGAACTTCGACAGGTCAAGGAGTTTTATAGGGGTGGTGATGTCACTGCTTTGGCTGACCCTGATTGGTTGGGTGAGGGCTAGGGCCCAGTTACACAAAATGGAGGATAGCTCCGTCCTGCTCCTCCCTGCCCACAGTATGAAATGGAGTCAGGAGTTAGCCTCGCCCGGCCCGCCCCACAATCTCAGTTGTAATGTATTTTTCCTTTTGCACTGTAAATGACTCACGTAAATGCCAGGCATCCATTTCAAAGAGGATCTACTTCAAAGACGACAGTCTTGAATAAACACATTACTAACCAAGTGACAAGGTAAAGAGATAGGCCACCTCCTCCTCCTAAGACTCCTTTGTTTTAGAGATCTTGGTTGATTTCATAACTGATCATTTGGGCTGCTGTTTCTTTAAATTTTCTCTTGCTTTAACTTCCTCACTCTAATCCACCAATCAGAAATGAGCCCGCGAAACCTTATGCTCCACCTTCAACTTCAGCTTCAATAAAAAGCAGATCAAGCCAATTCCTCTTTCTCTAACTGAAACCTCGCCTTGTGACTCTGTGCTTTGTGACTGACAGGTCCAGTAAGTAAAAAACCTTTATGTTTTTCAGTTACCTGATGATTATTGCTGAAGGAGGTCTTATGAGACTGGCATAAAACACTGGTTCATGACATCTTAAACTAAATTCCCTCTAGGACACTTTTCCTTTCCTCATAGTTAAAAATTATTACTAAAGTCATATGTACTAATAAAAGGATAATATACTAATTAGCCCGGGTTGACTGGACATCTTCCAGATGTCTGACTTCCTTCCGGACAAAGCCACGGAGGAAGCGGGAGTGTGAGGGTGAGGGGGGAGGCGGTTGGGAGTGATCAGGATGGCATGGGGCCAGTTAGGAGGCGATCAAGCCAGCAAGCAGAGGCAGTTAGGGACAATCAGGAAAGCAGGTAGAGTGGTTAGGGGCAATCAGGCAGGCAGGCAGGCAAGCGGTTAGAAGCCAGTGGTCCAGATTGTGAGAGGGATGCCCAACTTTGGAATGGGGCTGAACCTGGCAGTCAGACATCCCCACAGGGGTCCTGGATTGGAGAGGGTGCAGGCCAGGCTGAAGGACCCCTCCCCCACTCCATGCACAAATTTCATGCCCCAGGTCTCTAATACTGTAATAATTCTTGAAATCTGTATGGACGGACATATGAAAGAAACCAAACAAGAGCTTTCTGCTGGATTTCCTATTATTGATTTGGCGGCAAATGCTGTTGCTAATCGTTCTAAGTTTCTTCCGTTTATCACATTGATTTGTAACTCCCCTCCACAGCCTACACAAGTCACTTTTCTCCACGGGGGCTCTTCCTGCTGAGGGTTATCACAGTCCTCGGTCCTGACCCGAACAGATCCGGACTCCAGGAGTTTTCTCTAACATCCCAACCCAGAGGAATCTTCTAATTCCCAAGGTCAGTGCAGACTGTCTGGAAAGGCCCACGCCTTGGCAGTTCAACAGAAAGGATGGTCTCAAATAGAGATTTAAAAAAACACAACTCTGCCCTGGCAAGTGTGCTCTGTGATCAGAGCGTCACCCACCCCACCCCTGCACCAGAGGAACTAGGGTTTGATTCCCGGTCAAGCCAGCAAGCAGAGGCAGTTAGGGACTGCTGGATTGCAGGTTTGATCCCTTGGCCCCCATTGTGAGAAGCCAGTAGATGTGTCTCACATCAGTTTTTCCCCCCTCCTTCCCTCACTCCCTTCCTCTCTCTCTCTAAAAATCAATGGAAAAAATATCCTCAGGTGAGGATTAACAACAAAAAAACCTCTAACATGAAAATCCACCCTGTGACCCTTCCCAATATATCTTGCCTGTATATTTAGGCAAGAGAGGCTGAGGTGGACACAAACAGCCACACATTTCTTAAATGAATGAAATAGACAGAACTGGTCTGTAGATGGGACTCACCTTGTTCAGGCCAGCAATGCAGGACTCCAGTCCAGAAAACCTGGCAGAGTTCTGAGACAGACAGTGGTGTAAGCGGGTTATATAGGACGAGCCAATCAAAGATCTGGGGGGTGGGGGGGGGGGGACTTTCAAATAGGACAGGGAGGAGCTATAGCTTTGGTGGGAAGAGATGACTGTTCAAATTATTTCTGTTTTTTTATTGTTTTTTTGCTTTTGTTTTCATAGTATATACATTTTCATTCTCAGGAGAAACTTAAGCTATATTGATTGGGAAGCTCTGAGCCATTTGGATTTTCCAGGTTATTTTTGCAAGTGTCAAAAGTACGTGTGCTGTTTTGTTCACCAACATTAATCAAAAGCACCAGAAAGTGCTTTTAAACAAGTTGCTTCTTCAAATCTTTCTAGTGTTGGGGCACGAATGAATATGCGGTATAACTATGAGTACTTCAGCAGGTGGGTAGTTGAGAAATAGTTGGCATTCTACAATAGAAAACGATGATCTGTAACAACAGATGTTTATTTTACAAGGCACAAGCAACACCTACATACATTCTCTAGCCACTATGACAACATAAATGTTTCCATTATTTCAGCCATAAATGTAAGATGATGATTTAGACCCAAATTAAGTAGACGATTTCCGTATATGTGTGAACAAACTACTGGAGACAGTAATTAGGCAATGAGGTGGGGGAAAGAAAGAAACCAGAGGAGCTCACGTAAATCCCGGCTTAACTCCTCTGTGTGAAATACACACACACAGCATATGCTTGGGGCAGTGGAGCCGGGATCTAGGATGCCTGGTTGTGGGCCCTAATCTTCTGAGTCCCAGGGGACCCTAACCTATTTCCTGATTCCGTTCTTCCCGGTGGGGCCGCGGGCAGAGGCTCCCCACACGCCAAGCCACTCCTTAGTAAGGTGAGCAGACGTCCTGCTTTTGAACAATTTGTCCCGCGGCGTTTTAAAAAAGTCCCGATTTTTGGAAAGACTGAAGCGGGATGTCTGGTCACCTTATTTAGGCCGCATTTCCAGAGCAGCAAACACTCAGACACACACCAGCTCTGGCCCCGGACCCCGAGCTGCGGTGCCCAAGCTGCCCTGCAGGAGCCCCGCTGGCAGAACTCCCGCGGGCAGAACTCGCGAGAGCGGCGCTGACCTTGGACATCGGGGAAGCCACTCGGTTGGCGGTGGCGGAGCCACAGAGAAGCAACACTGGGCGGAGGTGCTGGTCAGGAGCCGGGGAGGCGGGAGGCGGGGAGGGCGGGGAGGCGGGGAGGGCGGGGAAGGGCGGGGAGGCGGGAAGGGCGGGAAGGCGGGAAGGCGGGAAGGCGGGAAGGGCAGGGAGGAGGAGGCAGGCAGTGTGTACACTGATGCTGCAGCAAGGCTTTTTTTTTTTTTCTTTTTTTCTTTTTTTAATATATATTGATTTTACACAGAGAGGAATTGAGAGGGATAGAGAGTTAGAAACGTCGATGAGAGAGAAACATTGACCCACTGCCTCCTGCACGCCCCCCACCGGGGATGTGCCCGCAACCAACGTACATGCCCTTGATCAGAATCAAACCAGGGACCCTTCAGTCCACAGACCGATACTCTACCACTGAGCCAAACCGGCTTCGGCTGCAGCAAGGCTTTCTTAAGTTAAAACATGTTCCTGTTACTATTTTTTTTTTTTACACTATTACAGATGTCCCTCACTCCTGTGACTCTTTTTAAGTAATGCTTCTCTAGAATAATTTGTAAATAGTATCAAACACATGTTTAATGTATTTAGATATATTTGACTTTGTATCAATTGCCCATGTCATATTTTATATCTGTTCGTGATGTTTCTTGTATGTGAAACCATTTATTCTGTGATAAATGCAATTTTAATTGGTGCAGTATGTGTCTGTGTGTTTAACAACAGCAATAATAAGAAACTTAAGTACAAATATAACAAACACTCCTTTTGTTCCCTTAAGTTTTGTTACCCCATTACCTCAAAACCATGAATATGGTAATAATATGTTTAATTTTGTAAGAAACTAGAATGTCTTTTAAAGTGGCTGTACCATTTTTCATGTTGTTGGGTTTTTGTTTTCTTTTTTAAACCATTTTAATAGGTGTGTTGTGATATTCATTATTGTGTTAATTAGCAAATTCCTGATGATGAATCTTTTCATATACTTATTTGCCATCTCTATATCTTTTTTGGTAAGATGTCTGTCCTTATGATTTGCCCATTTTAAGATTTGGGTTGTTTTATTGTTGAGTTTTAAGAGTTCTTTGTATATTTTAGATACCAATACTTTATCAGGAATGTACTTTACAAAAATTTCCTCTTCATTCTCATAACAGTCTTTTGTGCAACTTATTGATTTTAATGAAGTCCAACATCAACTTTTTCATGGATCATGCTTTTGGTATTGTATCTGAAATGTCATTAGCAAACCCAAGGACTCAGCGCCACGCCTGCACAGAGGCTAGACCTATTCCCCAGCTGGCCTGGCCCCAGATCACTGTGGGGCTAACGCTAAGAAGTGAGGGCCAAGGACCTGCAGCTGCGGCAGCTGGCAGTGGCAGCAGCAGTGGGGTGATGGGGACAGCAACCTTCTCCTGATTGGCCCAGTTGCCTCCCGCTGAGGAGGACATCCCCTGAGGGCTCCTGGACTGTGAGAGGGGCAGGCCTGGCTGAGGGACAAACCACCAGTGCAAGAATTTTCATGCACTGGCCCTCTACTGTTGAATAAGAGTGGTGAAAGGGGATATCCTTGCCTTGTTCCTGATCTTAGTGGGAAAGCATCCAGTTTTTCACCATTGAGTATGATGTTGTTAGAAATGCTCTCAACAATGTCACAGGAATGAGACAAACACTTGAAACTGGATCAGCCAGGCAAATTTACTCCTGTGCAGAGTGTGCTGTTGTCAGCTGGAAATTCATGGGCAAGGAAGTCCACTTGGGTTTTATTTCCTAACACAGGTCTTCCATCCCCTCACTCTGAACTCTGACTTGTTGGTCAAGGCTCAGAGCTCAGATTCCCATTATTACATGATTGGCTAACTCAGACGAAGGGGAGAGGTAAGACAGAGCCAAAGATGGCAACCCCCAGGGGAGGTGGAAGTCATGGGAGCCAAAATGGTGGCTCCCTTAACTGTTCTTTGACAGAAAAGATTACTTGTTTATTCTCACAATATTAGCTATATATATATATTTAAAATATATTTTATTGATTTTTTTACAGAGAGGAAGGGAGAGAGATAGAGAGCTAGAAACGTCGATGAGAGAGAAACATAGACCAGCTGCCTCTTGCACACCCCCTATCAGGGATGTGCCGGCAACCAATGTACATGCCCTTGACGGGAATCGAACCTGGGACCTTTCAGTCTGCAGACCGACGCTCTACCACTGAGCCAAACCGGTTTTGGCAATATTAGCTATATTTTTATACATGTTTTTTTTTTAATAGAGAAAGACACATTTAATTTTATTTAAGTAAAATCACAACACTTTATTTTCCAACTGCAGCAAAGTGAATCTACAATTTGCTATTACAGATCTACTTTTTTAATTTTTATTTTATTGTTTTAAGATATTACAAGTAGTACATATATTTCCTTTATTTCTACCCCCCAATTGACCTCCCCATTGCCTCTCCTACCCCTCAGCATCTGCCCTCATCCCCCCCCACCCCAGGGTCTTGCATCTGTTGATTGTGCTTATATGCATGCATACAAGTCCTTCTGTTGATCTCCTAACCCATTTACCATTGCACCAAGAAAATTAAGATACCTAGGAATAAACTTAACTAAGGAGATAAAAGACCTATACAGGACACTGAAAAAAGAAATAATGGAAAATGACAGGACACTGAAAAAAAGAGATAGAGGAAGACGTAAACAGATGGAAGAACATACCATGTTCATGGATTTGTAGAATCAACATAATTAAAATGTCCATACTACCCAAAGCAATCTATAGATTCAATGCACTCCCCATTAAAATGCTAACAGCTTATTTCACAGACCTAGAAAGAACTCTCCAAAAATTCATCTGGAATAAAAAAAAAGATCCCTAATAGCCACAGCAATCCTGAGAAAGAAGAATAAAGTATGAGGGATTGCAGTACCAGATTTCAAGCTGTATTACAAAGCCACTGTTCTCAAAACAGCCTGGTACTGGCACAGTTAGGTGTTTACCTATGCTGCCATCTTGGTTTCTCCACCCAGATTCTCCTTTTTATTAACAATATAAAATTGATCTGTTTCTGTTTCTTCTTTTATTCTTGGAATCATTTGTCTCTGTACAGTGAAAAAGACCAATTCATTTCAATGTTAAAATTATCACTTTCTCCAAGACAAATGAATATGTTTGAATATTTCAAAATTTACATCTTTACTGTCTTCAACACAAAATTCAATAATGACGTAGTTCCTTTGATTCTTTCACTTGCAGAAGCAGGCTGAGGGACAGGTGAGTGGGTGGGTAGGGTGGTGCAACGCTTTCTCCTAGGTGCAGCCTCTTTACTTCCCTTAAGCAACAAGCAGGCTAGATAGATCTGTGTCCCCAGAATGCAGCATTGAGAACTGACTCCTCCAGTTGACAAGATGAAGAAAGTGACAAAAAGGGGCTTGAGGGTGGGGAATGACTGCATGCAAATGAGTGAGGGCTGGTGAGGCTGTTGACTCAGCAAAATGCCCATAAATATTCTTTTTTAATATATATATATATTATTGATTTTTTACAGAGAGGAAGAGAGAGGGGTAGTTAAAACATCAATGAGAGAGAATCATCAATCAGCTGCCTCTTGCACACCTCCTACTGGGGATGTGCCCGCAACCAAGGTAGATGCCCTTGACCAGAATCGAACATGGGACCTTTCAGTCCACAGGCCAATGCTCTATCCACTGACCCAAACCGGTTTCGCTAAATATTCTTTTTTTAAATGTGAAACCATTGCCTATTATAAGAGGTTGGATTTTGGCAACCTCCATATGCAATAAAGAAATGTGTCGGGAGATCCAAGATGGCTGCGCCCAGGTGAACACCTAGCTGCAGCCGCACACAATTTCAATAAAATACAACTAAAATATAAACCGGACATTGCCCAGAACTACAGGAAGGTTGACTGACTGGAAATTCTACAGCGAGAAGCAAGGAGAAAACCAGAAGGAGGCGCGGAGGAGCTGGAAAAGCCCAAGGTACGGAGACGAGGCGCGGAGAGGACGGAGCCAGAGAGGAGGAAGGCCGAGTGCCTGGCGGGGGTTCCCAAGCTGGAAGGAGATAAAACTCCGACTGTGCTGGGCCCCCGACTGCTCTGAACCCCAGTTTTAGGCCAGACCCCGGGGACTCAGGCTCAGCCATAGGGAGCCGGGCTATAAGGCGGAACCCCGGGGAGAGGGGAAAGGAGGTCCCGGAGGCGCGCACACTGCGCGCAGAGAAGGGACGGTCGGCTGTGCCGGGGGATTGCCCTGACGGGAAGGAGACTGGGGCTCCAGACTGCTCTGAACGCCACCTCCAACTCCACTTCCAACGGAACTGAACCCCAATATCGGGCTCATTGGGGGAGAGCATAGACTGTTTGGCAGCAGACGAAAATCGAGGGCACCTTTCTCTCAGAGGCGTCGGCAGCAAGCGCTGAAGGACCCGCATAGGGCGGGGCTGACGGAAGCCAAAGCTGCAGGTTCCACCCTGAAACCCCATCCCATCTGTAACTGCGAAATGCAACAACAAAATAGATCACAAATGAAAGAAATGGAGGACAAAAAGCGTCTGGATATAGAGTTCAAATCTACGCTTACAAGGTTTTTCAAGAATTTCCTAGAAAAGATGGATAAGACCTATGAGGACATGAAAAGAGATCAACTAGAATTAATAAGGAGTCAACAAGAAATGATAAGGGATCAACAAGAAATGATAAGGGATCAACAAGAAATAAAGAATACATTGTCTGAAATAAAAAATATTTTACAGAGTCCTAAAAACAGAAGGGAAGATCGCAAGAATCAAGTCAAAGATTTGGAACATAAAGAGCCAGAAGACACTCCTCCACAGAAGCTAGAAGGCAAAAGAATCCAGAAAATTGAAGATAATGTAAGAAACCTCTGGGACAACTTCAAGCGAACCAACATCAGAATTATGGGGGTCCCAGAAGATGAGAGAGAGCAAGATATCGAAAACATACTGAAAGAAATAGTGACAGAAAACTTCCCCCACCTGGTGAAAGAATTAGATTTACAAGTCCAGGAAGCGCACAGAACTCCAAACAAAAGGAATCCAAAGAGGACCACACCGAGACACATAATTATTAAAATTCCAAGAGCAAAAGACAAAGAGAGAATATTAAAAGAAGCAAGAGCAAAGAAGGTAGTAACCTATAAAGGAGCACCTATACAATTGTCAGCTGACTTCTCAACAGAAACCATGCAGGCCAGAAGGGAATGGCAAGAAATATTCAAAGTGATGAATAGCAAGAACCTACAGCCAAAAATAATCTATCCAGCAAAGCTATCACTCAGAATCGAAGGCCAGATAAAGAGCTTCACTAATAAAAAAAAGCTAAAGGAGTTCACCGCCAAACCAGAATTATATGAATTGCTGAAGGGGGTTCTTTCAGAAGAGAAAGTAAACAAAGATAAAAATTATGAACAACAAATACGTAACTATCAACAAGTGAATCTAAAAACCAAGGAAATTAAAAAAATCTGAACAATATTAACTTGAATATAATAGAATCAGAGGTATGGAAGGGGAGTGAACTGATGATTCTTGGGGAAAAGGGGAGAGGGGGATGTGGGAAGAGACTGAACATAAACTGTGCACCTATGGATGAGGACAATGGGGAGAGGGGAAAGGGCAGAGGGTGGGGTGGGAACCTGGTAGAGGAGAGCAATGGTGGGGGGGGGGGAAAGGAACATTTGTAATAATATGAACAATAAAAACTTATTAAAAAAAAAAAGAAATGTGTCTACACAGGGTGAATAGAGTATTATCTTGCCATTATCTCTCAAGTCACATCACCTAGACCAGTGGTCGGCAAACTCACTAGTCAACAGAGCCAAATATAAACAATACAATGATAGAAATTTCTTTTTAAAAAAATATATTTTAAGTATATTTTTATTGATTTCAGAGAGAAAAGGAGAGAGAGAGAGAGAGAGAGAATCATTGGTAGGTTGCCTCCTGCATGCCCCCCACTGGGGATCAAGCCTAAACCTGGGCATGTGCCCTTGACGGGAATTGAACCTGGGACCCTTCAGTCCACAGACTGATGCTCTATCCACTGAGCCAAAGTGGCTAGGACTCATTTTTTATCTACCACTTAATCTCCAGCTCCCAGCACTTAGCAGGAATCAATAAATATTTTCAGATAAATTAATGAATGAATGCATTTTTATGTTCTATGTAATGTACTTCGTCATCAACATGAGATGTTTTAATGGTTTCTGTTGCAGAACAAACATGAAGAAACATAATCCATCTTTGGTGGTAGAATCTTCTTACCCAGACTTGGTCATCAATGTAGGAGAAGTAACTCTTGGGGAAGGAAACAGAAAGAAGCTGCAGAAAACTCAGAGAGATCAAGAGAAGGAGAAAGTGGCCCGGGCTGCCTGTGCTTTATTAAACTCAGGAGGAGGAGTGATTCGGATGGAAATGGCTAACAGAGATGAGCATCCTGTGGAGATGGGACAGGATTTAGAAGAGTCTTTGAGAACACTTACTCAGTCTTCAGACTTCCAGGATTTCTTTGAGACTAAGCAACACGGGAGGTGTTTTTACATTTTTGTCAAATCTTGGAACACTGACTTTTCCCCTGAAGATCGTTTCAAGCCCCGAATTTGCAGCCTGGATTCTTCATTACACCGTAGATTTGCCACCAAAGTGCTTCTCATGGATTCAAGAGAAGCATTTAATTTTCTGGAAAACAAGAAAAGAAATGCAAAATTTTTAGGGGAAGAACCTTCTAGTAAAATTCTCAGGGATGCAAATCAAAACTTCCATGACTCGAATCCTGCTCACCTAATTTTCCAAAAAGACCAGCTTGAGCATGGTGAAATCCTGCCTTTTCCTGAGTCTCAATACGTTGAGTTTAAACAGTTCTCTACGGAAAACGCTCTAGTCCGTATAAAAGAGATGGTTCCAAAGTATATAGCTGCATTTGCAAATACTAAGGGAGGTTATCTTTTTATTGGAGTGGAGGATAAGAGTAGGAAGGTTTTGGGATGTGCTGAAAAAAACATTAAGGGTGAGGATTTGGAAAAAGTAATAGAAGAAGCAATAAATAAATTACCTCGTGCCCATTTTTGCCAATCCAAATGCCAGATAACTTTTACAGTCAGATTCTTGAATGTGTTATCCAAGGAGGAGTTGAAAAGTTATGTGTGTGTGATCAGAGTGGAGCCATTCTGTGGTGCAGTGTTCTCAGAAGCCCCCAGGTCATGGATGGTGAAAGACGGGGAAGTCTGCTGCCTGACAACTGAGGAATGGATAGACATGATGACGGACACAGACCCAGGTGAGAGGGGAAAATACCTCCCTCCCTGCCCTTTTCTTGCTCTAGTACCTCATACTAAACAGGCTTTCCTTTGTTTCCTATGGCTTTGAACTTCTCACACCCACTAGACTCTATTATTCAAATCTCCCAGTATCCTGCTTTCCATACATGGTAAAATTTTGCCAGGTAATTAGAAGCCCAAATCAAGTGTCTTATAATAGGCAATGTTTTCACATCAAAAGATGAAAAGAAAATTTGGGGAATTGTTGCTTTGTAGTAGCTCTGACTGGCTCAAGGGTCATTTATTAATATTTCAAGAATTTTTGTGAGCCAGTTGTTAAACACAGTCATTATTATATAAATTTATAATTAAATTATATTAAAAACAAATGCAAACTTACAACTTCTGAATGATTTACTACATTTTAATTGTATCTTTGCTTGTGAGGTTTTTTTTACATCTATTGTATCTGTATGGTAGAAATATTGTAAAAGGCTGTGCTATTGTGTTTCTTATCAATTCTGCACTTAGTGATGTCAGTTTCATTGGTAGCTTGAAACTGTCTGTGATGGGAATATTTACACCAAAGAAATACAAATGAAATGCTAGCTAGACATAGAGAGTGAAGAATTATATTAAATGGGAAACACATTCAAACTTCCAAATAATGTCTCTTGGTTGTTGAATTTTGGCAACCTCCATATGCAATAAAGACATGTGTCTGCACAGGGTGAGTAGAGCATTATCTTGCCATTATCTCTCAAGTCACAACACCTAGACCGGTGGTCGGCAAACTCATTAGTCAACAGAGCCTAATATAAACAGTACAATGATAGAAATTTCTTTCTTTTTTTAAAAAAATATATTTTATTGATTTTTTTACAGAGAGGAAGGGAGAGGGATAGAGAGTTAGAAACATAGATGAGAGAGGAACATTGATAAGCTGCCTCCTGCACACCCCCCACTGGAGATGTGCCTGCAACCAAGGTACATGCCCTTCAGTCCGCAGGCCGACGCTCTATCCACTAAGCCAAACCGGTTAGGAATAGAAATTTCTTTTGAGAGCCAAATTTTTTAAACTTAAACTATATAGGTAGGTACATTGTTATTAACTTAATTAGGATATTCCTAAGCTGGCCTTTGCTAAAAACTCAAGGGGCCAAAGAGATGCATGTGACTCGTTTGCCCACCACTGACCTAGACAGTCATAGAACACACCTACTTATAAGGCTTCTTGCAGTGGTGAAAGAATGGACTAACATGTCAAAATAACGTGAGATTTTTTTTTTCTTAAGAGCTTCAGAATTTGTCCGAAGACTTTGAATCTCAGCTGAGTCTGTCTAGCAGGCCTCCTCGTAGCAGCCCGGTGTACTCCAAGAAAGGCCTGGAATACAAGGAAGATCTCCAGCGACTTTTATTTTCAGGTAGAAACTGTGGTCTGCCTACTTGACACCAGCCAGTTTCTATGCTAGGATAAAGGGGGGTGAAGGGGGTGTTAAATGGTTATGCTTGTTTTTTAAAATCCTGAAAATATACTCTCCAAACCTATACAAGATGATGATGCTACCAGTATATCGGTAATAAGTAATTTAGAAATGAATCTTCACTGACCCCACTGGCTGAGGCAGTACCACAGATGGAATCCAGGATTATTATTATCCTTAAAGACTATTGTTATTTGGTCTTTAAGTTCTCAAATTACACTGATCAGCAGTATTTCTGATTATTTTTAAAAGTATAGATACCGGCCGGGACCAGTTTGGCTCAATGGATAGAGCGTCGGCTTGGGGACTGAAAGGTCCCGGGTTCGATTCCGGTCAAGGGCATGTACCTTGGTTGCGGGCATATCCCCAGTAGGGGGTGTGCAAGAGGCAGCTGATCGATGACTCTCTCTCATCGATGTTTCTAACTCTCTATCTCTCTTCCTTCCTCTCTGTACAAAATCAATAAAATATATTAAAAAAAAAAAAAGTATAGATACCGAATTCCTCACTCCAGATTCAAGAACTTAAGACTATCTGGGATATGTCTCAATGTACATTTTTATCAAGGTTACTCGCATGATTTTGATATCCATCCATCTAGACTGGAAATCTTTTTACCTAGTGAACTAGAGGCGTACACTGCACCAACAGAAACAAAAAATTGCCCACCTCTGCCATATTTTCCAGAGAAGTAGCTGCTATGAATATAAAAAAGAATAAAGATTTATATCAAGTTGTAACACAAGCCCTAGCTGGTTTGGCTTAGTGGATAGAGCATTGACCTTTGGACAGAAAGGTCCCAGGTTTGATTCCCAGCAGGAACATGAGAGGTTTTTCCATTTATTTGCATATCAAATTTATATTTTAAAATTGTCCACAATAAATTGTATTAGATACAAGAGTAAGCATAAACATTGATAACTATTTTCAAAAACCAATAAGCTCTATTTTAGTAGAGCTTATTACCATGGAATAAGTTATAACTAAAACAAAACAACAGATTATATGCAACAATCTATTTTTCTTATATAAAAATCAAATTTTTGCTCCAGCCAGTTTCTGTCAGTGGCTAGAACATGTCATCAGCCTGTGGAATGAAGGGTCCCAGGTTTGAGCCCAGTCTAGGGCACATGCCCAGGTTGTGGGCTTGATCCCTAGCAGGGGGTGTGCATATGGCAGCCTATCAATGATTCTCTCTCATCATTGATGTTTCTATCTCTCTTTCCTTCTCCATTCCTTTCTGAGATCAATAAAAATACATTTTTTAAAATTCAAATTTTCAGGAATTGTACCAAAAATCTAAAGAATCATTTTTAATCCTCACCCAAGGAGTGAGGATATTTTTCCATTGATTTTTAAAAAGAATGGAAGGGATGGGGAAGTGGGGAAAGAGAGTGAGAGGGAGAGAGAAAAACATCAATGTGATAGAGACACATCAATTGGTTGCCTCCTGCTCTCACCCCAACCAGGGCCAGGGATTGAACCTGCAGCTGAGGTACATGCTATTGACATGCAATCCTTCAGTCCCCAGGCCAATATTCCAAGCACTGAGCTAAACTGGCTAGGGTGAAAGAGACTTCTTGCCTTGACATAATTTTTTTAGGAAGCATGTTCTATTATATAGTTAAAGTAAGACCTATTCAATGATGAGATAAAACTCACTTGGTTTGAAATTCTTCAGTGCTTTTCTCCATTTATCTGGAGGGATAGTCTGCAGGGCAGTGCAGTAGAGTGGAAACCACAATAGTGCCTGAGGCTTGGGTTTGGATGCTGGCTCTGCCATTTCCTATGGGTGTGGCCATGGGCAACTCACCTGACCTGTCTGAGTTCCAGTTTTCTCATAAAAAAAAAAGGATAAATGAGTATATATCCCTTGCACAATTGAGAGACCCAGAAATGTCCATAATCCCCCTAGTACAAGCAACAAATGATATGTTTTCTTTTTTAAAAAATATATTTTATTAATTTTTACGAAGAGAGGAACTGAGAGGGATAGAGAGTTAGAAATGTTGATGAGAGAGATACATCAATCAGCTGCCTCTTGCACATACCCCACTGGGGATGTGCCCGCAACCAAGGTACATGCCCTTGACCAGAATCGAACCCGGGACCCTTCAGTCAGCAGGCCGACACTCTATCCACTGAGCCAAACCGGTTTCAGCATGTTTTCTTATTTTATACTTCTTTTTGTTTCTAAAGTTCTATTTTAAACATATCCTTATATTATTCTATTTCATCCATTCTAAGCAGTGTGTTTCCCCTGATGTTTCATAATGGATGCCATCTCCCACTGGCTATCATCCAGGTTGCAGACATAATCAAGTCTTGTGAACACGGGGTACAAGTGAGAAAGCATCAGCAACAGCAAGACAATAAACAATTACCAATGAACTTTGGCTAATTTCACTTAAAATTACCACTACAAATCTGACACCGTGCAACAGGATAAAACAGTCTTTTAACTTCCTCCTCCAATCTTTGAACAAATGACCATTGAAAGAAGCTTAAAACCCTACATTATTCTCATGTCACATCATTGTTCCTTGCTCCCTCGTGACAAAGGGAGACTTTGTGCAAAGGGATGCAGTCTCACCCTGATGTGTGTGATACCAGAGTTTAGCTTCAGGAGGGTTAGCTCAGGGCCCAACTCCAGGGTCTCTCAGGCCAGGACCACAGGGAATTCTCTGTGAATAAAAGGTTTAACATGGCTCCATCTTTTCCGAAAATACTTACTGAGCACCTTCTTCCAGGGAGGGCTCCTCCTACCTCCATCAAGGGGAACTGTTCAGGGAAAAATTGAGATTCAACAGAACTATATAACATTTCCCAAGCAGCAATAATGAACCAGATATTTTATGCTTTTTATTTATTCCTCACCATGAGAAATGTGCTATTTGTTAATGCGGGTCTTTTTTTTTTTTTAATTTTATTTGTTTTTTGTTTGTTTGTTTTTTTGTTTGTTTTACAGATGCGGGAATAGTCTTATAAAAACTAAGAAATTTCCCAAGGTTATAAACATAATAAGCACATAGATGAAGTGTGCCAGGTTTTCAAGACTTCTTTTCCTTTATTATAAAACAACTAGAGGCCTGATGCATTCCTTTCTTCAGCTGCTGGCACCTGCTTCCCTCCTCTGGCCTCCAGCAGGCACCTGGGACCCGGGCTTCCCTCTGGCCCCGGCTTTGTCCAGAATGATGTCCAATATAATTAGTATATTACCATTTTATGATTATAGATAATATTTATAAAAGAACATATACCAAAAATATTTAATTTATCATAAGATTAATTATGATTGAGTATAAGTATAATAGTTACTTTTATTATAGTTAATCATGCAAATAAATATCCATTTATAACTCTTTCCATATCTAGTATCTTCAGTAGACTTGCAATTTACTCCTGAATCTCTCTTGGAGGAGCTGTGCTCAGAGTATGAAGGCCTGGAGGAATTAATAAAGAAGCAAATTCATCCTTTCTCCCGAGGGATTTTGATCCTTTCCAGAAGCTGGGCTGTGGACCTGAACTTACAAGAGAAACAGGGAGTCATTTGCGATGCTCTGCTGGTAACACAGAACAGCCCCCCCATTCTCTATACCATTCTCAGGGAGCAGGATGCAGATGGGCAGTTGTACTGCACCCGTACTGCCTTTACCTTGAAGCAGAAGCTGGTGAACATGGGGTGCTACACCGGGAAGCTGTGTGTCATGGCCAAGGTCCTCCATCTGAGTCCTGAAAGCAATGCAGAGTCCTTTGAAGGTTCAGACTCTCTGATTAAGTACCCTAAGTCCTATTACCTTGCAGACACCGAGGAAATGGAAGCCTTGCTGCAGTCCCTTGTGATTGTCTTGCTCAGCTTCAGGTCTTTCCTGAGTGACCAGCTTGGCTGTGAGATTTTAAATCTGCTCACGGTCCAACAGTATGAGATCATCTCAAAAAACCTCCACAAGACCCCAGAATTGTTTATCCATGGTTTACCTGGCTCAGGGAAGACTATCGTGGCCATGAAGATCATAGAGAAGATCAAGAATACGATGGGTTGTGAGATAAATAAAATTCTCTATGTTTGTGAGAACCAACCTCTGAGGGACTTGACTGGGTAAGCTGTTGGGTTGACACCAATGAGGTTCAGTTTGAAATCATTCCATGTCTCCTTCTACTCAAATAATTTTGTTCCTTTTTAAAAAAATCCTCATCTGAGGGTATTTTCCCATTGATTTTTAGAAAGAGTGGAAGAGAGAGGGAAAGACAGAGGTAAATATCAATGACACATTCATTGGTTGGGAAGGGTTCAGGCTGGAGAGGAGCCTGCAACTGAGGTACGTGCCCTTGACTGGAATCGAACCCAAGATCCTTCGGTCCACAGGCCTATGCTCTATCTACTGAGCAAAACTGGCTAGGGTATCACTTTGTTCCTTGACAATAGGGTGGTAAATTGATCTGTATAACAGTCCTGTGTTTATAGGAGTATGATATAGTAATTTTCCTCCTTTATATACTTAGAGAAAACCTGATTGTGTCTTTTTAATTTTTACAGTAAAAAAGGTATCTGCCGGGCAGTGACCCGAAAAGCCTTCATGAAAATAAATTCAAACTTTGAAAACATTCAACACATCATCATTGACGAAGCTCAGAATTTCCAAACTGAAGATGGGGACTGGTATGAGAAGGCAAAAACCATCACTCGGAGAGGAAAGGGTGGCCCTGGAATTCTCTGGATCTTTCTGGACTACTTTCAGACCAGTCACGTGTACCACAGTGGCCTCCCTGACCTTCAGGACCAGTACCCAAGAGAAGAGCTCATCAGAATGGTCCGCAATGCAGAGGAAATAGCCAACTACCTGAAAGAAATAATGCACAAAGTCAGAGAAAATCCACCACCTAACATTCCCTCCGAGTCCCTGAACATATTCAGTGAAGCTGAATGGTCTCGAGGTGTTCCAGGCAACTTTAACTATTATAATTATAAGGATATGGAACAGTTAGTGCATGATATAGAAAAACAATGCCATTTACTTTTGAAGGCTGGATATTCCTGCAAGGATATTGCTGTGATTTGCAACACAGTAGAGGATGTACAGGAATATAAATCTAAGCTTGAAAGTGCACTAAGGAAGAGAAAAAGGTCTCGGTCCAGGGAGGAATCTAATCTGTTAGTAATAGAAGATGCATCAGCGATCACGGGCAATCACATTGTATTGGACAGTGTCCGTCGATTTTCAGGCCTGGAAAGGAACATTGTGTTTGGGATCATTCCAAAAGCAGCTCAGCCAGCTTTTTCCTACAGCCTTTTGCTCTGTCTAGCTTCCAGGGCAAGGAAATATCTGTATATTTTTATTCCCTCTGAAGAAATGACTAATTCTGCATCATTTTAATAATGGTCTTAATTTTTCCTATCAATGAGCACAGTATATGCTTCCACTTATTTGTATCTCCCTCAATTTCTTTCTTCAGTATCTGATAATTTTCTTATTACAGGTCTTTTACCACCTTGGCTAAATTTACTTCTAGCTACCTTATTTTTGTTGTTGTTGTAATAGTAAATGGATTTTTTCCCCCTTACTTTCTCTTTCTTATAGTTCATTATTGGTGTATAAAAATGAATTTATGAACACTAATTCTGTATACCACTACTTGGCCAAGTTCATTTATTAGATATAGTAGGGTTGTTTTTTTTTTTTATAGGATCTTTAGGATTTTCTATGTACAATATCATATCATCTGCAAATACTGTCAGTTTTACTTCCTCCTTTCCAGTTTGGATGCCTTGCTTGAGTAAACCCAGCAGAGATCACTCAGGCTGTCCCAGGGCAGACAACCAATACAACTTATAGAATGTTTAGCTAGCCGAAACTGGTTTTGCTCCGTGGATAGAGCATCAGCCTGCGGACTGAAAGGTCTAGGTTCGATTCCGGTCAAGTGTATTTGCCTTGGTTGGAGGCACATTCCCAGTAGGGAGTATGCAAGAGGCAGCTAATCAATGACTCTCTCTCATCGATGTTTCTAACTCTCTGTCCCTCTCTCTTTCTCTCTGTGAAAAATCAATAAAATATATATTTAAAAAAAGAATGTTTAATTATATAAATGGTTATTGTTTTCTACCATTAAATTTTGGGTGGATATGTTAAACAACAAACACTGATAGAATAACTTATCAAAGAGATATCTGCACACCCATGTCTATTGCAGCATTATTCACAACAACCAAGATATGGAAACAACCTAAGTATCTATCAAAGGGTGAATGGAAAAAAATGTGGGATATATACACAATGAAATGTTATTCAGCCATGAGAAAGAAGGAAATCCTGCCATTTGTGACAACATGGATGAATTTTGAGGGCATCATGCTAAGTGAGATAAGTCAGCTGAGAAAGACAAATACTAGGTAATGTCACTTATATGTGGAATCTAAAAAAACTGAAGTGGAGAGAAGAAAAGTGGGTACAGCAGTTGGGGACAAGGGGGTTGAGAAGATATTGTTTAAGGTTATGAACCTGCATCTAGTAGATTAAAAAGTTCTGGAGATCAAGAGGACAACATAGTGTATATCGCGAATAATTCTGTATTATAAACATCAGGTTTCTCAGAGACTAGATCTTAGTTGTTCTTACCACACACACAAAGAAAGAAATTATAATTATGTGACTTGAGATAGTCACTCTACAACATAAAAATGTGTCCAACCAATATCTTGTTTATCTTAAACTTATAAAATGTTATGGCAATTAATCTCAATAAAAATAAATAAATGTTAGCTATTGCTTTTATTACTATTGGATATAGCAAGTTGCATTAGCTCTATACATAGTACTGTTAAACAAAACAACCTTAAGAAGAAGGTTTAAAATATACAAACTTGCCGAAGCCAATATGGCTCAGTGGTGGAGAGTCGGTCTGCCTGAAAGGTCCCAGGTTCGATTCCGGTCAAGGGCATGTACATTGGTTGCGGGCACATCTCCAATAGGGTGTGTGCAAGAGGCAGCTTGTTGATGTTTCTCTCTCATCGACGTTTCTAGCTCTCTATCTCTCTCCCTTCCTCTCTGTAAAAAATCAATAAAATATATTTAATTATACACACACACGCACACACACACACACACACACAAACTTAGCCCTAACTCAATAGCTCCATAGGTTAGTGTCATCCTGATATGCTAAGATTTCATGTTCGATCCCTGGTCAGGGCATGTACACAAATCAACCAATGAATGAATAAGTAAGTGGAACAACCACTCTCTCTCTCTCTTTCTCTCTCTCTCTTCCTCCCTCCCTCTCTCAAAATCAATAAACAAAAAAATTTGAAAAATAAAATATATAAACCTCATTATACTTCCTTGAAAGACTAGAGGCACAAATTTTGAGATCAGATTCAATCCCCACTAACAGGAAAATGGGGAAGAAAAATCTTTGTTCATTGTTACTGAACTTACACAATAACGAATAATAGCCAGATTTATTGAGCAACTACTATCTCTTCTGGGCACTTTACTTCTACACACTCCCTCAATCCTTCTCACAGCTCTATAATGTAGGTACTATTACCTCCGTTTTATGGATGAGAAAGCCAACTCAGGTCACAAAGAGATGACATTGAAAAGTCCAAAGTTGTAGAACTGTTAAGTGACAGAGACAGCAGACCCACTGTCCTCACCACGATGTACTGTGTTCCTCTCCAAGGGACTCTTTCACTCTAGGCCTGGAAAGTGCACCAGTTTCGGAGAAGACAAGAGATTACGAGAGGAGCCCATGGCCAAAGACGTAACTGGCCTGTGTAGACATGGGACACAGGTTTTGGAAAGCATCAGCTGTACCTCCGGTTCAAAAACCTGCTGATGGGGATTCTTCAGCTGGCAAAAGAAGAGGAGACACTGCTCAGAAAAGTTAGAAGTTCCAGAGCAGGAGAGGACAGGAGTAGCATCAATCAGCATGCCATGTGGCCAAAAAATTATCTTGGAATATTGCTAGGTAAGACAGGAAGAAGAGCCCTAATTAAAAGGAAGTAGGGGTTGTGTGACCAGAAAGGAGGTGTGGGCTTTGATTCAACTCAGAAATAGCAGGGAATGGGGAAAAGGGGATATGGAAAGTAAGGTTTCAGAACGCATGGGACTGACACTGGGAGGCAGTATGTGTTGAGGAATATCCTGAGGACTGGAGTTGCCATCACTGCAGGAAGCAACCGATCAATATGTCTATCTCATATTGATATCTCAATCTTATCATCCCCCCACCCCTGCCCTTCCATTCTCTAAAAGTCAATGGAAAAAATATCCTTAGGTAAGAATTAACAATCAAATATATATATATATATATATATATATATATATATATATATATATATATATATATATATGTTCATATATATGTTCATATATATTTGTTCATATATATTTGTTCAATATATAATTGATTTTTTCACAGAGAGAAAGGGAGTGGGATAGAGAGCTAGAAACATCAATGAGAGAGATACATCGACCAGCTGCCTCCTGCACACCCCCCACCAGGGATGTGCCCACAACCAATGTACATGCCCTTGACCAGAATCGAACCCGGGACCCTTAAGTCCGCAGACTGACGCTCTATCCACTGAGCCAAACAGGTTTTGGCGAAATTCTTTTGACTGCCAGCTATCTCCTTGGGGAAAAGGTCTTCACCTTCGGGCCATGTAGGGATTGAACTCTTACAAGGGGGGGCCTGAGTCCTGAGGAACATCAGCATCAGGTTGTGAGGCAGCTGGCCCCAAACCTCTCAAAATGCTTCTTTGCCCAGGAAGGCAGCTTCTCTTGGGCTCGGTGTGCCTGTCCTTCTAAAGGTACTTGGGGGTCCAGAGTTCCCAGCACTTCCCCAAACATCCTCTTTCATGACTCGGGGTCTCACTCCTTCCACACCCATGCCCTTCCCTCAGTGCAAGAGACCTGGTGTGGTTGTAGGCTTTCACACTGATCTCAGCAACCAGAACCATCAGGCCTTCGGCATGGTGCTCAGCCATGTCTGTCCTGCAACTACAGGGGATGAGGGACTCCTGCCAAACTGTAAAGGCCTTTGAGTTTTCCATGGATCTTTTGAATAGTTTTGTTCACAATCTCTGTTTTTTATTATTGTTATTATTATTATTATTGTTATTGTTATTATTATTATTATTATTACTTTACTGTTTATTCTTTCTAGAGCCATCAGAGAGTTTATTCCATAGAAACTAAATGCCTCAGACTAGAAGGGGGTCAAAGGGGAACATAAGTAATACTTTCAACAATAACATTAAAAAAAGAAGAAGAAACTAAATGCCAGTCATGTGATTTCCCAGTGCCTTGTCCTCCACCTTCATTTCATCCTATGCTACTCCTGATAATAATGATGCCACCGTGTGTGTGTGTGTGTGTGTGTGTGTGTGTGTAAAATTGTTATCAGGTAGCTTGCAACTATCCCCACTAAAGCCATGGTGGTTTCTGCTGCTGGGGAAAGGGGAGAGAAGTTATAGAGGAAAGACAAAACAATGAATTCAAATTTCTATAAGCTATTTTATTTCTTTTATTTTTTTAAAAAGTTTGAAACAAATATAAAAAATTAGCACTTATCAATCCTCTATAGCAAAGATGTATTATACATAATTTTTAGAACTTTTTGTGTTGTTTAAATTTTATCCCTCCTCACTAACTACACATACATCCTTATTCATTATAATCTTGAAGGGCTGTTCCCATAGTATGGGTTAATAAAAAACTAAGAAAGTAATTCATAAAACCATTACAAACAAGTACAAACACACAACTGGCAAAATCATATCATTAACCAAAATATCTGCACTGCTCCAAAACCAAAAGTCATAAAAATCAAAAGCTGTCTTTTTCTCATCTGTGTTCCCTCACATTCATTTGTCCTTCCCTAGAGCCAAACACTATTACCAGTTTTTTTAGTACACTTTCAAAAATATTTAATGTATTTACAAAGACATCTTCATATCAGTTCTATAAGTCAAGGACATTTTAAAAACATTGCTTTGTTCAACCTACAATATATCTTAAAGGTGATCCCACATCAATACCTCATAATATCAAAGTGTGTTGGTATGACATATGTTAATCAATTCAACCTATTGAGGGGGATATTTACTATTTTGCAGTCTTTCACTATTAAAGATAAAGTGAAGTTCAATGAACTGTACAGAAGTCAATGCACATCTTTGAACATATGTGTAGAATGGCTACCTAACGGGAAATGTGCATTTAAAATGTTGGTAGATAATAAAAAATAAATAAAATAAAATGTTGGTAGATTGTTCTTGATAGAAGTTGTACTACTTTATAGCAATGTCTGAAAGTGCTTTTCCGCTGCCAAACAGTAAAATCATTAAGTTGGAATGTAATGATTTTGTCAATCTAATAAGTGGAAGGGAGTGATACATTGTTGTAGTTTTTAGTTGCTATGTCTATATTATGACTAAAGATTCCATGTTTAGAAACTTTTAAATTCCTTTTCCGAGTTCTTCTGCTTCCTCACATCCATTGCCCCCACCCCCCCTTTTTTTTTCTTCTTTGTGATCTTAGAATTTTTCTCTTTGTTTTTAAAAACTTGTTTAAAAATAAGGAGTAAATTATTTATTTATAACTTTTGTTGCAAATATTTGTCCAGTTGTGTTGTTTGTTTCTTGGCCCATTTTCATGGTGTTTTTACTTCGAAGATAATTTTGTTTAAAATAGTCAATATTTTCTTTCATGGTTTCTAATCAGGGACTATATTTAGGCCTTCCCTATCCTGACATAATAGAAATTGAATGTCCTACTTTGGCTTCATGTACTTTCATCACTCCATATTTTTACATTTAAGTATTGAATCCACCTGGAATTTATTTTGCTGTCAAGTATAATGTATATAGCCAATGGCTAATTTTTTGCAGATAGGTACCCAAGTCATTCAAAATAACTTGTGGAATAACCCATCTTTGCCC